CAAGTTTCAAAAAGCCCTTGTGAGATTAATGCACAAGTATTCGCCAGCAACCTACTCATGTGAATTGTCAGCTTGGTTAATTCAAATTTGCTATTCACAGGTGCTTCCGTACACATCTCAATAAGAATTTCATTTTAGAAAGCATTCCCGCTAGACTTCCTCAAACAAAATATATGAAAAGCCACTCTACTGCCTGAGTAAAATTTCCCCAAAGATGTCCAAGGGGTAATGATGCAACAAACGTGCATGCTATTATGTTCAATGAGCTAATTAAAACAAAGTCTTTGTTGCTACTGCAGTCATCAAGCCACTGCTGCAGAATGCTTTATCCTTTGTTCACCTCAAATAGTCTCTTCTGGACACTGCCTGATTTTATACAGCTGTGCTGTCATTCAGATGTTTGAACTACAACTACAATAATTCCCCATCATGCTGACTAGGGAATTCTGAGAGCTATAGTTCATACATGAAACTATTCCAAGCTGTGATAAAAAAAAAATACTAGTTGATGCCCTAAAATCTGCATTGAAGAAAAAAGCAACCAAAAAAAAAAAGTATCTCCCAAGGCCATTCTATACTTTAACAGAGTGCTGGTTACCTCTGGTTCTAGGGCCATTTATAGGATGTGGATTCTATTCATTTGGCCCTTGGTCTAATTTTGAAATCCTTCTGCAAGTAATCCAGATTGTTCTTTTCCTAGCAGCCTGCTAGATGGATGCACTTGAGCAACAAATTCATTGCAAATATAATCTCCAAACTCAGAAGGGGGGGGGGGTGAAGCATAAAAAGGAGGCATACACAGAGAGAAAGGGTAATAGCAAGAGAAAATGGAAAGAGCTAGGCCTGCTTGTTTGAGCACTGGCTGCATTCATACTGGCTTCAACTTTGCCACTGCCAATTTGTGATCCGGCCAGATTTTCCCCAAAAATGTGACCCCTACTTTAAACCCTGCTCCCCTGCAGGACACAGAATGGATGTTGTTGCAGTAAACACAAGTTGTCATTCAGCCACAGCAGCATAAAGGGCTTTTTATGGGAAACGAACAGTGTGTATGGTCATGAGAATGATAAAGATGGTAAGTGAAGCACCACCTGCAGTTTCAGAGGTGTAGGTGGGGTCTGTATTTGATGGGCCCTCTATCCTTGTGATAGGATTTTAGAACTACAATTTTACTTCCCAGCATATGACCACAGAGCATTAGTTTGAAACACAGTAGGCTAAAAGCCCACATCAGATATTTTATGGATCATATTTGGCCTCTATATCCACGGATTCAACCATCCACAGCTTGGAAATATTCAGTTGAAAATTCCAAAAGCCAAATCTTGATTTTTGCCATTTTCTATTAGGGACACTGTGCCATTGTATATAGTGGGACTTGATACCAAAATCCGCAGATTTTGGTCTCCACAGAGGGTCTTAGAACCAAATCCCAGTGGATAGCAAGGAACCACTGAAATTAGCATCACAGCTCTTTGTTTTCTCATTCAGGGGCCCCAATAGGCCACTGTTAATACACTGTCAACACAGTGGATACCAAAATCTGAGGATTTTAGTATCCACAGAGGGTCTTGGAACCAAATCCCAGTGGATAGCAAGGAACCACTGAAATTAGCATCACAGCTCTTTGTTTTCTCATTCAGGGGCCCCAATAGGCCACTGTCAATACAGTACCAGTAATCCTTCCCATGTTCTACCCAGGAATATAGCAGCTGTCGAAGGATGGCAACTGAATGTATTCAAATCTCATTGAATACATTCTTAAGGCAGGGATAGTCAAATGATTCTGAACCCTGCAATTTGTATACCTCCACAGTCCTGTTCAGCACATCCAACAATGAGGAATGCTGGGAGTTAGAGTCCAGTAACATATTGCTACATTTGTGCAATATCTGAATGTAAGTAACACTCTTTGATCGCCCCATAGCAGTATGTAAATACTAATGAAAAATGCTAACTGTTCGTAAAGTAACTTTAAAAATCAGACTAAAACACATACACACACACACACATACACATCCTTACTCAAAGTACATCCTTACTCAAAGACTGGAAAGTGTCAAAAACACAGGAAATACAAAACTAGGTTTTGTAACTGGTCAGATCATGTGTTATGGTAAAATTATCACCAGGCCCAAGCCTACTCCCTGAGCTAACTTATATTATTAAATTCAAAGGAACATTAATCTAATTACCAACACAAGGGACATCAATCTTTCATGGACACAGGTATTATTGTCCTTAAATGGCCTGACTTAATAATTAATTGTAGGTATGGGGTTACAGCTCCTAAAGTGCTAGGTGTACTGTACACTGGCTGTTTCAGAGCTTGCAGAAGTAGGGAACGAATTACCAGACTGAAGAAAATGCTGCTAAAGAGGAGGATTCAAACGCGTTGCTCAACTTTTCAGTAACAGGTCAAGATGGTTCCAGGCACCAGCTCAAATCTCATTAAAGAGAAATGTGATGTTAATATTGAACAGCCTGGGCTCTTCCCGGTCAACCCATTTAACAGACTGGATTTTAAAACGTTATAAATTCAATGATCACCAGGTTGCAACTCCATAGGAAGTATGATTAGACTGGTTTGGAATATTTGACTCAACAGACCTTCACTGTGGCAGTGTTACCACTGTCAGGGCTTTTGTAAGGGCGGTGAATGTGGAGCTAGTGAAGCCACTCAGACTTGAGTGGTGAATAGGGTGGTGAATAATGGTGAACAGGGTGATGAATAGGGTTTTGTAATATTTTGAATAAGTTGCTCAAAGTCATGACTAACAGCCTAATCACACTGGAGCAGTGGTTCCCAACCTTTTTTGACCAGGGAACAGTTGACCAGGGACCACTTTGACCAGGGAACACTTTGACCAGTGACCACTCTCCAATATTAGCACCAAAAGGGTTACGAATCAGTTTTTGGTCAATTTTAGATTCAGTTTAGGGTGCTGATTCAGAAAATTACATTGGATAGACCACATCGGCTGTAGTTTCTGATACAAAACATCTGCCATGGTCAGCGACAGGGAAGGAGTGGAAGGTGGCATGAAAAGAGCATAAATAAATAAATAAATCTGCAGACCAGATCTATGTCCTTGCAGCCCACTAGGGTCTGCAGCCCACAGGTTAAGAAACACTGCACTAGAGCATGGATCCACTTTAAATCCGGTTTCTGCCTCCTGCAGCATTCTGGGGTTTGTAGTTTAGTGAGGCCCAGGAACTGCCTAGCTGAGTAGTTCAAAGACCCCTCCCTAAACTACAAGCCTCAGAATTCTGCAGGAGGCAGAAACTGGATTTAAAGTGGACCCATGCTCTGGTGTGATGAGGTCCTAAGACCTGGAATAGATTCTTTGATTCAAAGATATGGGAGTCAACATATCTAACATTTTGGCTTTCTTTTATTCTCATATGGGTATCAAACATTTTTTAGAATACCATGATGATTTACATCTCAATCTGTGAAATTATTTCTTTTATAGAGAAGCAAAATCAACAAAAAGTCCTATGGTACATGACTAGGTGTTTTTTCAGCTCTCATAACAATAGCCTACTCCACTGAATTCAAAAGAAACAGTATCAAGAAGTACTGTCTCTCAAAAGATATCAAATATTGACATGTGTGAACTTGTCATCCTTTTTTTCTTTTATAACATATATTTACACATATTTTTTGTGCAGATTTGCCAAATCTATGTATTTTGGTAATCATTATCCAATTTCTAAGTATGTTTGAACTCATTTTTCAAATGTAGACATTTGAATACAATTAGTTGTTGAACCAATCCCATAGCAAGCACAGAAATAAAATAAAGTTTCACATTGTTTGAGTCCATGTTGAGTCTCACATTAAAATAAAGACTCACATTTTTCTCACCCATCCTTATTCTGCTAGTTTTTGATCTATGCTGTTATGAACACAAAAATGTGAAGCACCTTTTAGATTAGCATATGGCCACAGAAAAAAAGATCACCAGGTGTTTTGTTTTTCCCAATTCAAACCAAACTCATTTTTGCTATTACACCAAAGTTAGACACCTAGAAAGGAAAAAAGAACTAGTTGATTTCTGTGAGCAAAACAAATGTGCCATTCTGAGTTTCCAAGGCTATCAGAGGTGGGGCAAGTGATGACAAGTAAAATAACTTTTGGTGGTGAGATGGGTCTTCCGCATTTGCTGCTTCCATTTTAAGCTGTGTTTTTAATGCTACTTTATATCATCTTCATTGAATTCTACTATAACTTCGTTATTATGATAAACTATGTCAGGAAGAAATGATGAATTTCTTTAATTCACTAGAATGATTAATGGAGATTGGAGATGAATATTAGATGACATATGACTTCATCACTTCAGTAATTCCTACATCAATCTGAAGGGGCATTCCTTACCAGATTTAAGATGAAGACATCATTGATGAGAGCTGTTTAGATGACTGTTTGATTTGTATGCTTACCCTGACTCAAATACCAAACTCTGGCAATTGACTAGATTATGACAACCCTATAGAAAACCCCCACACAAAGGAACAAGTTCTCATTAAAATGCATCCACATTTAAGTGTTGCTGCCTAGTTTGCTCGTATGAATTAATCATGACCATGAGAAAACTTCTGTTATGATCTCCAACACAATGGTTTTCAGAGGCATCTACTTCCATAGCCCTCTCAATGTGAGCAATCAAGAGCTGAAAAATCAAAGGAATGCATATTATGAGCTTTCTAGTTGGTTCCAATTTATGGCAAGCCTTAAGGAAAATGTATTAAGGGGTTCCCATGAGCATATTTACTCATAAAGAGTTTTGCCATTGCCTTCCTCTGAGGCTAGGAGAGTGTTGCTTGCCCAAAGTGGCCCTGTGGGTTTCTATGGGCATCTAGGGTTTCTTAGTCTTAGTCCAATACCAAAATGACTACATCACGGTGACACTCATACATGAACACAGCCTGCAAGCTATTTTTTTAACCAAACCAGAACATACTTCAATGTTTTAAAGCAAACCAGAACATACTTCAAGACTTCCAGTTTCTTCTTCATTTTCCAAGATTTGTTTCGCAGTGTGGCAATTAGCTTCTTTTTCTCTTCCAGTGCTTCTTTCAGTTTAGCAAGTTCCTCCTCTGTAAGCTCTTCCTCAGATTCAGAATCAGAGCTATATAATTGAAGAAGATATGAATAAGATGTATGGAAGCTTATCTGGAAAGCTTGTGGGTAGTTTAGGAAACAAGTCAATATTGCTAAATCTTTAAATAATCTAACTCCATAATATTCTCACATGACTTGAGGAGACCTTTATATAAGCCTGCATCACATGTTCCTCATCTCCATTGCCTTGGCCTGTAGAACCGACAGGCCAAGGCAACTGCCAACTTTGCTTGCAAATCCTAGAGGTTTTTTATATACCATATGTGGTCATCCTGACTGGCACCTGCTCTCACTAGATCAAAGAATATGTAATTTGGGACTGTTCTGTTGCTGAGACAAAAACATACGTAGCATAACTAGGACCCACTTCCTATAACTAGGAGCCACTTCCTATAACTAGGACCTTCTGCCTATAACAGTCAATATTTCACATTTGTTGTCAAGCAACATGGCTCAGGATGGCAAATAAGGAAGAGCACACAAGCTAGAGAAGTTGTAGTTGTTTGCTTCTCAGCCTTTTTGGCTAAGATCAAGTGTAGTATCTGTACTTATCAGTTCAATTGAGCCCCCGGTGGCGCAATGGTTAAACCCTTGTGGCGGCAAGACTGCTGACCGAAAGGTTTGCAGTTCAAATCTGGGAAGCGGGGTGAGCTTCCATCTGTGAACTCCAGCTCCTCGTGCAGGAACATGTGAGAAGCCTCCTACAGGATGTTAAAACATCTCAAGTCGCTCCTGACACAAAAAAGTAGTTGCTTTTGCCTGAACTTACTGGGAAAGAAAAGATTTTATCTCCTCACTCCTAAATTACGTTATCTGAGGACAAAGGGAGAAAGTGGGATGACAGATTGCTCAGGACTGTGCCTGAAAAACTGGAACAATTGGAAATTATGCCTTTTACACTACTAGGCCCTTGCTCTGTCTTCATCCTTCACTCCCACTGGCTCTGTACATCATCCTATAAAGCCCTATATGCTTCAGGTCCAACCTATCTTCGAGACTACATCTCTTTCTAAAAACCTGTGTGGGTCTGAGATCCACAGGAGAGGCCCTTCTCTCAGTCCCACCACCTTCTCCAGCACGGTTGGTGGGGATGAGAGAGAGGGCCTTCTCTGTGGTGGCTCCTTGGCTTTGGAACCCCCTCCCAAAAGAGATTGGATTAGCCCTCATCCTTCAATCCTATCCTGAATGTTTAAATAGGCCTTTGACCTTGAGTAGACTGAATGGGCCCATATGAAGCTGACACTTGGCACATATGAATTGATGGCAGTTAGTTTGTTGTTTTAAAATTGTATTGTTTTGACTTTATGCTCCATGTGTTGACAGGAGGGGGGGGGTTGTTGTTATAATTTTATGTGACTTGTTTTATACTTCTGTACAATTTTTACATATTGTATGTCATATGTGCACCCTGCAGTGCCTTGTAAGCCACCCCAAGTCCCTTCGGGGAGATGGTGGTGGGATATAAATAAATCATCATCATCATCATCATCATCTTCATCATCCATGGAGTTCAATTAGAGTCCTTAGAGTCAATGTGATATTATTCCTCATTCCTTCCTGATATAGCTTGGATGATGGGCATCCCAGCTAATAAAATGGGCATCCTCAGCTAATAAAATGGGAATCCTCAGCTAACAAGGGCTTGCCTTGAGAGAAATGTTCTTTAAAGCAGTGTGAAAACCAATCAACATTAAAATCAGCACTTCACAATGTGTGACTTCTAATAGTATTTGTACATTGCTTTTAATGCTTTATGCTTTAGTGAAAACCTGATGCAATTGAGTCCCATTCCAATAATTCCCCATTTATTTGGAAACATGTATACCAGGGTATAGAGTAAAAAGGTGCCTGGGAAGTCTTGGTTGCCTTCATTTGTTGTAAAAAGTGAAAATAAGGCTCTATCTAGTGCCTCTATCCTGAAAAGGAGCAGGTTGGATCCATCTGGATAGGACAGGTGGAAATAACATTTGTAAGATCATTGTTCTTTGCAGCATCCACATGCCTACATTCTGGCCCAACTTCAATATTTCAATTATTTTCAAAGTAAGACCATTTTTGTGCTGCAATTAATGCAATCAGGACATAAATGATAGATGTTAGACTTGGTTTTTCCACAGAGCCTTTCAGTTGGTAAACCAAAAACATTTCTCAAACCTTTTTCTTTTCACATTTTGACTGTATTTTATTTAGATTACAACATGTAATTTTCTGACAAACCTCCTGCGGGTTAAAATCTGTGATGAAAGGGTTCTCAGTTGTAACATTTTGTTTTTCTCATATATACCCCCCCCCCCCCCCCCCCCCAAAAAAAAAGATTGCACTCTGGCCAATCACTCAGTTGAATAAACATTTAGCATTTTTTTCAATTTTTTAAAGAATTTCCCCAGATAATATTAAAAGAAATAGTGTAATTGCCAGATTATTTACCTTTTTACAAAGTCTGTTTTTGAAGAAAAAAAACAAGGGTCTCAGCTGCACACAACAGATGCCCTTTAGAAATTATAGAACAGGTTTTACTATTTTGTCTTACTCAGATTTCATCTGAGGTGAGAGGATACTGAGAGAAGGAGAGAGTTGGAAACCCCTCTCCTTTCCTCTGCTTCCCCGCACACCATGAAACCACGTCCAACATCTCTGCATGTAATGGCAGACAGGTAGGATCCATGATGCAATGGGGGAGGGGACTGCCATCCTGTTTCCACATGCCACCTGAGCCTGAGAAACACAGGATGGCAGTGGGGATAATTGTCCCCATAGGCCCTTAGTTGGGAGATAGTCCAGAATGGGGCAGAATTTGGACTTTCACCTGATTTTGGTTAATGCAGGGCCCCATGCAGTGTTGGGCTGCCATGGGGCTGATCTGCCTCTACACCAACCTAAGTAGCCAGCGTAGATAGGGCCTCAGTTACCACATCAGAGAAATAACCACAGTGCATTACCTTGAACCTTTTCTCTTTTTGCCTTTCCTTTTCTTCCTCTTCTTGCTTTTTTTGAAATCCCCTCCATCCTTGGTCTTCTGATTGGCTCGGTTTTTCCTGCTTTTACAGGCTTCCTCATATTCCTCAACATCAAGTCCAGCTTCCTTCAACCTGCGTTTTTTGTATTTTTTCCTGCGGTCTGCAGCAGTCTCTTCATCCTCCTTCTCTTCCTCCCCATCTTTTTTCTCTCTGTTCTTTTGACTGGCATCTTTTTTCTGTGGAAATTCTTCCTCTTAAAATCATGGGGAAAGGATGGGAAAAGGCATTGGCTGAGATCCTCCACTGCCCAGCATAGCACAAGAATATGTGACTCTCTACTCACACACCTCTGGACTCATATGTTTGCTGCAACCCCCCCCCCCCCATGAATTCCCATTCTGTAGTTAGTGGAGAAAGGGGAAGGAGGAGAAAGAAGTTTTTAGTTATGTTCTAACACAGTGGTTCTCAATCTTCCCAATGCCATGACCTTAATACAGTTCCCCATGTTGTGGTGACCTCCAACCATAAAATTATTTTTGTTGCTACTTCATAACTGTAATTTTGCTTCTGTTGTGAATCATAATGGAAATATCTAATATACACGATATATTTTCATTCACTGGACCAAATTTGGCACAAATACCCAATACGCCCAAATTTAAATACTCATGGGATTTTTTTTTGGGGGGGGGGGAATTGATTTTGTCATTTGGAAGTTGTAGTTGCTGGGATTTATAGTTCACCTACTATCAAAGACCATTTTGAACTCCATCAATGATGGAATTGAACCAAACTTGGCACACAGAACTCCGTGGCTAACAGAAAATATTAGAAGGGTTTGGTGGGCATTGACCTTGAGTTTTGGAATTGTAGTTCACCTACATCCAGAGAGCACTGTAGATTCAAACAATGATGGATCTGGACCAAACTTGGCATGAATCCTCAAAAAATGTGAACACTGGTGAAGTTTGAGGAAAATAGACCTTGACATTTGGGAGTTGTAATTGCTGGGATTTATAGCTAACCTACAATCAAAGAGCAGTCTGAACCCTACCTATGATAGAATTGGGCCAAACTTCCCACACAGAACTCCCATGAGCAACAGAAAATATTGGTCTTTGGCAATCCTTTTGACACCCACCTTGTGACCCTACCGAGGGGCCCCGACCCATAGGTTGAGAAATGCTGCTCTAGCATGAGATGCAAAATGATGACATCATCTATCAAAACCCACCAGGCTCTCGGCAGATGATGTCATCAGTCTGAATTTAGCTATGGGAGTAGAATCTCAGAACTGTATGGCAACAGCGCTGTTAGGGAGGGGCTATCTTTGATGGCCTCTATGTGTCTTTGTGTCTGTCATGAAGTGTGCATGAAAGGGTTGAATTGAAGTCAATAAAAAGCTTATTTGCCCACTCACATGCCTCATTTTGGTCACCACGTCATGGCCCTCCCTCCTGCCTCCAGTGCACTGTGAACTTTGCTAATTATCTTGGGCTGGATAGGAATAGTCTTTTTCCTGATATTTTACTGCATCTAGCTCACTTGGGACAATTGACAATGAGTTTTTTCTGTAAATAAGCTTTCACTTGATAGGTAGCAGGTGGCGAATATAAGGGTTTTGGTGTACACTTGCCACCCTTTTGGTGAAGGCTAGCACTATGGAACTGCTTCTTTAGGTCCTGGGACCTGGGATGGAAGGGAAAAGAATATATCCTTAAGGCAGAGCTTGTGTTGTAGTTCAGCGTGTTGGTCGAGTTGCTACTCCTGGTAGCAGAGAAAACAGGTCTACTCTGGAGTCGGAGGGAGAACAGCAGCGTCAGCGCATTAGGGAAATCATTATGGCTCCAAGTGATACTGACACGTTTCCAGGCTTCTCCAGTTGTGAGATGAGGGATGGGGAGGTGAGCAGAGGTGTAAAGAGGGCTGCTCACGAGCCAGAGTCTGAGGGGGAATTACAAAGGAAACGTATTCGGGAAATACTTTGTGCACCAACAGAGGATGAAGATTTCTTTGGGTTTGAAAGAAGTTCTGGGTCTGGGAGTGATATGGAAGAGGAGGAGGAATTAGATTGGACCCGTATGCAAAACATAAGGGACACCTGTAA